TATTGGTTTTGTTACTGTCTCTCCCAAGCAGAATGTGAGTTCCATGAGAGCAAAATTTTGTTCTTTGTTTCACCACTATGTCCCCAGCACTGGTAACAGCCACTGGCAAACAGCAAGTGCTCAATAAATACTTAGGATTAAGAACACGGACAATGGAGCCAGAGAGCAGGGTGAGAATCCCAGCTCACACACCAACTGTGTGGCCCCCTGAGAGGCAGGGGTGGGTGACAGGCGGGTGGCTGTGGAGAGCAGCATCGGGCTACAATTGTCACTCAGGCTTCCTACTTGGAAACAAGTCCGCCTGCCAGGGGTTTGGACAACCATGTGGCTGCGGCTTGCGTTTATTCTCAGCTGCACTGTCAGTACCACCAAGGGCTCAGGAGCACAGAGAGTACTGCCGTTGACCACGACGAGGCACTGGGAGCGTGGAAACAGACCTGACGTGGTCATCGAGCAGCTTCTCACAAAGCTCTCCCCCTAGAGTTCAACGTCAAAGACAGAACGCTGCAGCTGGCAGGTGTAAATCAGCAGTCGGGTTAGGAACATCAGCGTACAGGAGGTGAGATTATCAAGCCAGCTGATGTTTGACGTGTATTGCAGGCCAGGGATATCACGATGGTTTGAAGGCACTGGAGGCACGACAGCTAACGAGTCAGGTGGCCCCGTCGGTTCTTCCAATCTGGTTTTTAAATTTCAGTATTTGTAAGTAATTTTCAGACATGTATGGTAACAATTTAGGATATTAATATCTTGCTGAATGCATGACATGTAGTGTAATGCACTTATTTACCAAGTAAAAGTAACTAAAACTACATAGTGTTTTCATGGTACATGTGCACTTCGCATCTATCCACTTAGTCTCAACAGCCCTATTAGATGTACGAGAGTTACAGAGGGGGAAACTGAGGCACAGAACGTTTAGTTAGTCTAGGGCCACACAGTTGGTGTGTGAGCTGGGATTCTCACCCTGCTCTCTGGCTCCATTGTCCGTGTTCTTAATCCTAAGTATTTATTGAGCACTCGCTGTTTGCCAGTGGCTGTTACCAGTGCTGGGGACATAGTGGTGAAACAAAGAACAAAATTTTGCTCTCATGGAACTCACATTCTGCTTGGGAGAGACAGTAACAAAACCAATAATATCTAGTGAGGCTCCCATCTTAACACCTGTGACTCACACCTGCAATTCCAGCTACATAGGAGGCTGCAAGTAGGAGGATTGGGGTCTGAGGTCAGCCCTGGGCAACAATGCAAGACGCTATCTGAAAAATAACTAAAGAAAGGGCTGGGGCAAGTCTCAAGTGGTAGAGTGCCTGCCTGGCCAGCCTGAGGCCCTAGTTTCAAATCCCAGAACTGCCAAGAAAGAAAAATGAAGCAAAATAAGGAAGTGGAAATCCCCCTTAAAGCTGGGTCCTACTTCAGTAGGATGATAGGCGACGTTTTGAGAGAGACCTGCACAAAGCGTCCAGGCAGAGGGAAGAGCAGGCGCCAGCCCTCTGTACTGAGACTGCACGTAGCATGGCAGAACACCCTGAGGTCAAGGCTGGGTCAAGTGGGAGGAGAGGGCAGGGGGCAGTGCCCGAAGCTTCCCAGGGTGAGCAAAGGTGAGTTTCCCACAGCCACGGAAGGTGTGCTGAGTGACATGTGAGCCTAGAAACCAGGGTCTGTCTTTTGCTTTAAAACAAAGGATCACTGTAGGAAGATGAGGTTACTGAAATGGTGCAGGTGGTAGGTGGCGCTGGCTTGGCCTGGGGCAGCAGTGATGCTGAGGTAAGTGTTTCCCGACTCAGCAGGTGTTTTGCAGATGGAGTGGCAGATTACCCTCGGACCTGATGTGAGGCAGATAGAAAGGGAGGAGCCTGGGATGCTGAGGTTTTTGGTGTCAAGTGATGGAAGAAGCCATGGTTCACAGAGGAGAAGCAGCAGACAATGTCCCAGGGACAAGTCAACACCTGTTTCAAGGAGGCGGGAGGATGTCAGCAAAGATGGCAGAGGAAAGACCTCTGAACATTCTGTCCTCTATAAAAACGATGGAAAACTGGCACGGACAGCTGGGGCACACTTTGTCCAGAGCTCTGCAGCTGACCCAAGCCTTGTGGCAGCCCCACTCCCCTGTCCCTGAGCTCCAGCTAAGGGGAGGTCTTGACTGGTGATGGTCTGCATCCCTAGGCTGCCACCTCAAGAGTGCGGAGCAGAGCTGCAAAACGTGCAAATTCTCATGCTCAGAGAACTGTCATTGCTTTTCCTGTCCCCATGGTTCCCTGGAAGACTTTGCTTGCAAGGCTGTCTGTACTTGATCTGACTTCAGCTCACCCACGAAAAGTCTTTTCCCCAGAGAGACTTTGTCAAAAAAAAAAAAAAAAGACACGCATATCTTTTAACTTCAGCTGCCTGAGGTAGTGGATAACAGCTTGGGAAACAATAAAATAAGAGGTCCATGTGTCCCTGGATCCAGAAGGCCATGTATGGCGCTAGGGCCATGTGCTCAGGACGCCCTTGGGTTTCACCTCTGCGTGACCTGAAGACGTGCACACAGGAAGAGCATGAGGCAAAGCTGACAGCTGTCTGGCTGACTACTGAGGTCATGCTCCAACAAGCATCTACAGCCCCTTGGCAATGTCCAGGTGAACTACTGGTTCCAGATATTAGTGGAAAGCTGTCTTAGCTGACAGTAAGCTGAGTAGAGATATCAGTGGCCGAATAGAACAAAAAACACAGACATTACGTATTAGTTTAGAAAGAACTAACTATAAAAAACACCTACAGACCTTGGGGAAGAAGGAGAAGCTGATTTACAAAGATGCCACATTGTGTTATTTTTTAAAAATCCAATTTTCCAAAACAAAGATACAGAGAGGACAGCTCATGTACAAGGCAAAAAACCCATTGTGCTACCTAGGCAAAGACTTCAGATCACTTATAACTCAGACAGCTACACAAAGCCACGTCTGTAAGAAAAAATGAAGTACAAGAATGACGTCTCACAAAATAGGCGAGATCAGTAAGTTCTGAAAAGTAATAAAGCTGGTGGAGTGGCTAAGTGATAGAGCCTGTCTAGCAAGTGTGAAGCCCTGAGTCCAAACCCCAGTACACACCCCCAAAAATAAATAAAAAGTAATCAAATCTTCTGGATTGAAAAACACAGAAACTGAAATGGAAATTTCATTAGTGGGGCTGGGCAGCACAGTTGAGCAGGCTGGAGAAAGGATCAGCACAGCTGAAAAGAAGTCAATTAAAGTGATCCAGTTTGGGGGCAGAAAGGGAAGGGAGTGAAGAAAAATGAAGAACCTGGGAAATCTGTGGGATCCATCAATCACCAAATGTACATACAATAGGAGTCCCAGGAGAGAGAGAGAGAGAGAGAGAGAGAGAGAGAGATGGAAAAAATAAACAAGGGCAGAGACTGTCCTAGTTTTGCTCCAAGTATTCATTCACCTGCTGTGCTGGTGTGCTCTAAATTCCTCTAGGAAGAACTCAGACCCATGTGGGCCCAGCTACGAAGTGCCCAGGAGACAATCTTGAAAACAGTGAGAGAAAAGCAACTCATGAACAAAGATCCTGATGCCTTACCAGAAACCATGGAGGCCAGAAGGCTGTGTCATATGTAAAGTGCTTGAGAAGAAAACTGTCAACTAAGCACTCCATACCGAACAAAAACTATCAGAAAGGAAAGAGAAGATAAACAAAAGCGGAGGGAATTAAGCACCCACAGACCTCCCTGTAAGACACAGAAAATGGCTTAAGTGGGTGCAGCACACCTGCAGTGCCAGCTACTCGGGAGATGGAGTGGAAGGATCACTTGAGCCAACAAAGCCAAGACCAGCCTGAGCAACACTATTTATTTAAGATTAAGTAAAGAAAGCAAATCCTTCAGGCTGAAATGAAAGGACCTTACTCACTACAAAAACCCATATGAAATGATGCTAGTAAGGGAAACCACACAGGTAATTATGAGGCAGTATAACTATGTTTTGTTCTTTCTATTTTTTCTCTTGATTTATGAACCAATAATATATAGACCATCAAACTGGAATTGACGGGCATGTAATTGGTAAAGATGTAATTTATATAAAATGGAGCTATATAGGGGCAGCTTTGTATCTACTAACTCTAACTAGAGTTTTGTTGACTGTCACCGAGGTCGACCCCCTAGGGAGGGGGGAGGGACCAAGGGCGCTACCTGAGAACTGACCCCTGGCCACAGGTCAGGAGTTTCAGGGGTGTGGCGAGGCAGGGCCTGCGTGTCGCTGGCTCTCCATTACTGTGACAAAATGCCCGCGATCATCGCAGCAGAAAGGTTTATTTTGGCTCATAGCTTCGGAGGTTCCAGTCGGGTCAGGTGGGCTGCTGCTTTTGGGGTGCGGCCGCGCATCCTGGTGGGTCTGGGGGGGCAGAGACGGGCGGGAGGGGCCCTGACGCCCCAAGAGCCGCAGGGCCCCCGTTTGGCCTCGCCAAGCACGCGCAGGACAAAGCCGGGGGGCCGGGAAGTGGGGTGCCACCGCGATCTCCCAGCAGCCATCGAGCGGATCAGCTGCGGGGAGGCCTCTGCGGCCTCACCGGCCCCTTCCGCCGTCTTCCTTCTATGGTCCTTTCGGAGGCCCGGGAAGCGTCAGTACTTGAGGTGACCTACACGTGGCCACCAAGGCCACGGTCCCAAAAGAAAGTGCCAGTTATCAATGCGCACGCGCGCCACCGTCGCCTCTTTCTTAACCAGGGGAAAGGGCAGCGGGGCGGAGGAGGGAGGGGGGAAAAAAGGATCCGCTACGGCGGCCTCCCATTGGCTGTTGTCGCTCCGCCTTCGCTCTCTATTGGCTGCAGGCAGTGCGCACGGGCCGAGCACGCTCTCTTGCGGCCTGCAGCATGGGGCTGGCGACGCGGCGCAGCCAATGGGAGAGTCTGGGGGCGGGGCCAGGGAACTGGGCCTCCGGACGCGGGCGAGTTGGTAAACAGATCCCGAACGCGTGCTGGGCGCCGGCGCAGTGTCGTGCGCGCGGAGGCGGCGCGAAGGTGACCCGCGATCCCAGCTCCTGCAGCCGGGTAAGGCTGCCGCCCGCCGCGTGCTCGGGCCTCGCCGCTCCCGGGCCCTGCCCTTCTTGCAGCCGCAAGTGGCAGCGCGGCTTCCCGTTGCAAGTTTCCCTTCCCTTTGAGCTCCGCGGCGCGGCGCGGGGGGCGCGCCCCGGGGATCGGACCCCGGGGATCGGCGGGGCTCTGCGGCGTCTCCCGCCCAGCCCCACCCCGGGCCTGCCTCGGGGAGGAAGCGGAGGCGCGGGCGGCCTCGCCGGGTCCCCCTGCGCGCTTTCTCGGGACGCCTCGCTCACCTCCCGACCCCTAGCGCGGCGAGTGCGGCTCCGACCGCCTCGGGCTGCGGCTGTGTCGGGACTTGGGCTTCCGTGGCCGCGGCCAGCTGTTGAGTTTCACAGGTGGGGTTGGGGTGCACTTGCGGAAGGGCCCTTCCTGGGCCTGCCCTCCCTTCCCTTGTCTCGGATCCCGCTTCCCGCTTTTCGGACGCTGCTGGTCTCGTGTGCTTTGGGTTGGTCTCGAGCCTTCACGTGGCCGATTCTCCCAGGCGCGCTGCAGGGCCGGGGCCGGGCGTCCGGGAGGGAGGCCCGCAGGCTCGTGTGCAGCCTCCCAGCCTGGTCCGGCCTGCAGCCCTTTGGAAAACTTGCGCACGTTCACCTGGGCCCTGGCCCTGCGTGGCGGGCCGGTGGAGCTGGGCACGCCACGGCCCTGGAACGCGCGTCCATGCCCGCCTGCCAGTTGTCATGCTGCGACGGCGGCTCATCTTGCAGGGGCTGCTGGGACTCGGTCTCCTGGAGTTGGGAGGATGTCAGGCCTGTGTCTGCAGGGAAGGTCTGGCTGTGTTCCAAGCATACGTGTGCACGTACATTCATGTCTACATACCCACCGCCAAGCCCTGTCGGGAGTGGACACGGGTATGACTCGCGGAGTTCTTTTGTAGTTGACTGAAGCAGCACTGTCACAGACAGCCATTTCGTCTTGTGCAGAGAAAGATGCCTTATTTCTGAGTCTACATTTTGCTTTCAGTGTAACCCAGAATTTATGCCCCAAACTTTTAAGTCTCAAAGTGATGAGCATCTTAAACAAAACAAAACAACAACCAAAACGCACAGAGATTATAAGAGAAAAGACAGGAGAGAGTATGATCGAAGTACACTGCGTGCACATAAGTCAGGGTCATAACGAACCCATGTGAACATTTCCACTAAGTTTAAAAAAGGGACGGTCGAGGTGGGGAGATAAAAAAGTAATAGGGTGAAATATGATCAAAGTGCATTATATGCCCGTGTGGAAGTTAAATCCTTCACGTTGTACAATTAATATGTGCTAATTAAAATAGCTAAAAAAATAAAACAATGATTATTGACCAAGGCAAGAAAAAACATCCCAAGTCACCACCAGGAATTTCTGTTTCTTAATTGCTCCTGTGGGGATGAATCTGAATTTTCCTGCAACACTCCTTGGTCACTTGGGAGCCTTGGGGGAGCCCTTTGTTACCTGTGGAAAAGGAAGGGCAGACACTTCTCCTTTCTCAAAGAGAAGTTTGGAGAAGTCTGCGAAGTTTGGAACTTGGCAGGATAATTTTCCATCAGGAGCCACGGACACTGAGTCATTATCTTTGTTGGTTGAAACAAGAGCCGTGTGCAAAATTAGACAGTAATATTTAGAGTTGTCTTGACTTGACAACTGGAAATAGTTTTGCCATTCTTGTTACACAGTCAGGAACTGGGGTGAGCCATGGAAAGGGGGGCCCTGAGGGAGTGGGGAGCTCAGGGGTCCTGTTTTTTTCTGGAGTTGTACGTGTGGGAGGTGGCTTGTGAGAAGTGAGGGTAGCCTGAGTCCCAGTGGGAGTTGGGGAGAGGGGTGCAGAACTCAAGGCATAGACAAGTGGATAGATGTAGGTAGGATTTCTAGACCTGCTGGATACAGGGCTGAGCGTTCCAGTTGGGAGGAGGGGTTGGGTGATGGTGTCAGTACTGCATTGGGGCATGGAGTGGAGGAGCTCATTTGGGGGAAGGTGTGATGTGGTGTTAGACATGATGGGGCTAGTGCCTGTAGGGATGTTTTTCCGTCTTTTTTTTTTTTTATTAAGATACAGTTTGCATGCAGTGAATTCATCCTTTTTAGTGTGCAGTTCTGCACAGTTGGACAGGTACCTATAGCCTCACAGTCAAGGTGTACAATCATTCTGTCACCTTCCAGAGTTCCCCATGTGCCTTGGTAGCTGCCTGTGGGACTTCAGTGGGTGATGTGGTACCAATGTGAGTAACTTGGTTTGTTCTAGAAATGGCTTAAGTGGTTGAGAGGGTCTGCTTAGCCTGAGAATGGGGAGACCTAGTCACACAGTCCTTGGAGAGGCACAGGAAGACAGCACACTCACCTGGGACTCCTGCTGTGGAGGAGGGAAGCCTGGAAGGAAGCTGAGAGAGCTTTTGGAAGATGTGAACTGGTAGGAAATGCTGTGCAGGGTAGCAGGGCGAGCTGAGGAGACCCACTGGCTTGAGGTGTCAGGTGTCACAGGCCGGCTGGGCAGCCAGAGAGACATGTATGCGTTGTGCCCCTGGCCTCAGGCCATGGAGGAGAAGCAGAGCCAACAGGCGGTTGCCTGTATCTGGTGCAAGAGAGGGGCTGAGGGGCGGGCACAGTAGGGTTAAGGTCCTGCTTGATTAAGGCTTTGAGATGAGAGGCCAGGAATTGGAGGGTCTCAGGTCTGATTGCCTCCGTTTTGGGAGAAACATGGAGGTCTGATACGGGAGTGAGTCCCCGTGCTTAGCGTGGGAGAGACGGGTAGGCCGGTGGGGGGGGCGGCCTGAAGAGAAAGGAAGGCTGACTTCTGCCTTAGGTGCCCTCCTGGTCCTGCTCCAGTCGTCCTCAGAGGAGCTAGCTGTTCCTAGTAGTGCACCTGTGTGCATGTGAGTGCACGTGTGCAAAAGGGCAGCAAGGAGATGTTTCCTTGCTTCCTGCCTCGCACCACTCACTGGACATCCCCAAAGGCGCGTCCTGAGTGAAGCCATAGACTTTCCACTCCACCTTTGGGAATGCCGAAGAGGTCTGCTGGGATCTGCCTCCAGCATGCCTAGAGGGTCCCTACTTAATTCTTTTGAGCCTTATTTTTTCCAGACCCTGTTAAAGCCCATTTTCTGAAATTGGCTCTTGTGGCTTCTTGTCAGCCTGTGTGCTCTAGGGGTGCTGTCCTGATCTCTGGACGAGAGGTCATCTAAGTCAACTGCCTCAGGTTCCAATTGAAGAAAAGAGGCACCAGGCCCGAGGAGGGCACCTGCTGTGCCTGAGGTCATACATGGCTGGTGGCCGAGCTGGGCCTGGAATCCTGGCCTCTCTATCAGTCTTCCCAATGGCCCTCATCACGTTATATGTGCTGTCCAGGAACTGGAGGACCTTGTGGCAGCAGCCCTGCTATCCACTGGACTGGGTGATAGGCACTGGGGACTGTCCACATGAAATGAAATGCCTTGTTAGCCCAGAACCTGGGGTCACTTGCAGCGTGGGTGTCTCTGGCATGTTTTCTGTGGCATGTTTTCTTCTGGCATGGCTCTGGTCTGGTAGCCGCAGGCCATTGCTGCTTGACAGGTGCTTCAGCAAACGCCTCCCTGAGGCTCTTGCCCCCTAAGGTGCTATTTGCAGTCAGCACCGGGCTGACAAAAGGCTGAATGGTGCTGTGCCACAGCTGGGTCCACTGTGTGTCTTGTGCATGCTGCCCTGGTTGTCCTGTTGATGGAAGGGCAGACCTGCCCGCAGCTGCCTTCCCCTCCCCTCTGAGTCTCCTCTTAGTCGGGAAGGGCAAATCGAGGCTGTGTTGGTGCGCACCAGGAGAAGGTGTTTGAGTTGGCACGCACAAATCTCGTGCTGAAGATAGGGCAGTTGTGGATGGAGAGAACGGTTGTTGACACCTGGTTGTGAGGAGTGCTGGCGGGCATTTGTGTCCAGTGTTGCTAAGGCACTCTAAGCTGGCCATCAGCATACTGGAGTGCCCCTATGGAGTTGGGCTCCTGTCACAGTCTTAAGCCTGAGAGTGAGCCAACCTGTCCTCCCTGTCCTCCCCCTGACTCAGACAAGACCCTGGGCCTAGCATGGAGAGCAGAGTGAGCGAGCGCACCCCTGCCCCCTTCGGTCTCACATCTGCACTTAGGTCCAGAGCGTTTGTGTGGTTGCAGTCACACCAGCTCATGGTGCAGAGCTCCTGCCGTGTGGATGATCTGTGCTTATCTGATCCTCAGGAACAGATGAGGAAACTGAGGCTCAAAGCCAAGCTTACGTGATTGGACCGAGGTCACACTGGCAAGTTGGGGGCAGAGTCAAGGTTCAGGCCCAAGTCACCAGCTCCACAGGTCTTGGTGTCATCACCAGTGTCACTTCCTGATGTAAATATTTTTAATGTTCACTCCAGAAAACTGGAGTGAGTGGTCAGAAAATGGAACCATGTCAGGCCCTCACGCCTGGGTAGGTGGCAGTAGAGTTAGAGTTAGGTTTGCACAGCAGAGGAGAGGCCACTTGATTCCCTGTCACCTGCCTGTGCAGGTTTGTGGACCGTGCTGTTCCTCTGGACTACCACCTGAGTCTGTGCCTTCACCTGCTGTGGCTTTTATCCCCCCACCCACCAACCTAGTGTCTACCACAAGGCCACACTCCAGGGAGTGGTGAGAATAGCTTAATCTACTCTGCAGGGAATGGTGGCTTTGGCTCCTTTTCTCCTCCTACCTGTTAACCAGGTTGCCTAGCTCCCGGGCCATGGCGGATTCAGGTCCTCACTTTTCTTACAAGCTGTGTGACTTTCGGCAAATTCTTAACCTGCCTGTGCTTTTGCTGCCTCAGCTGCACACTGGGCCCGAGTCTGCTTAGCACGCACAGATCTAAGCGTGCATTCTGCCGTGCTGCTTCACTCCTCACCAAATTAAAACATTTGGGAATTTGATAAATTCATCCGTGGAGCGTGTCCTCGTGCCTGTGCCCAGCATGCTCTGTGTGTGTTAGGACGGGGTTGTGGGGTTTGTAAACACCTC